AGCCAAAAACATCGTTTATTTGAATACAAAACAAGAAATCAGCAAATCTTGACACGTCTTGACTTAACTGCAGCAAATTGTCTTATGACTTCGTCAAAGTCAGTGGAGTTAGCGTATTCGCATTCAATAGACAACAAAGCCAACCCAGTTAAGCGCGATTGTGCCATAGTTGTTCGTAAATAACTTTTTATCAACTTTAACTTGGAAAAGCTTCGCTCACAGGACGCCACGGAAATACACACGGTTAGAAACAACTTCAAACCAACCGTGAGATTTGGAAGTGTTTCCTGGAAGTCCCATTTGACGATGAACTGTAGCACATCCAGTGCACTCCATCGTTTGGCATCATCCATAATTATTTCTGCTGCTTTCAGATGTCTCCGAAACCTTGGGATCTCCAACAACAGTTCGCTTTCGGACACTTCGTCGTAGAAAGTCGTTAGTTTATTAGCAGACGTTTTCTGTTCTAAATCAGACGCTGATAGCAAGTTTTCAGTTTGAATTGCTTCAAAAATGTCCGCCACCTCCTTCACCGGTTTTGATCGCTTCAGCAGTTCATCATAAAAACGATCGATGCAGTCCAACATACCAGTTCTGTTTTCCTCTTCCAACGTAGGCCCGGGTTTCGACGGTTGGCGACCTGGCTTTCTTGTCTTGAAACGAACTCTCCTCTCCACAGCAATACCATACTCTTTTGACTTGGAAAGAGCCTTCTCAATGGCGTTTTCAACAAGATTGTTGCGTTCAGCCGTCAAAAAGATTTCGAGTGCTTTAGCTTAGTCAAAACCTTGTCAAGTGACAATCCCTTCGTTTGCAAGTACTTTTGTGCAATATCAACTGACGTCACACCAAAAGTATAAATAACAGAGAAAAGTAAAGTCACAAACCGCAGGCAGAAGGGTTCGTGCACTTGCTCTGGTATTCAAATTTTCAGCTGGATCAGACAATGCTTCGATTGCAGCGATCAGCCCATCGTAGTTTGCGTAAATTGGTTTTACCGCTTCATAATGCGCACTCCAGCGGGTTTGCGATAATCTTTTTACCGCCACACCTGTGTGATGCAGCAGCACGTCCCATCGATGAGTTGAAACAGCAAAAAACGAGTAAACGGCTTCGACAGTTCCAAAAAATGTAAAACACTGTGGATTCACAGCAAAAGCGTGTTGGCCGCATAAGTTTAACGAGTGATCTACACATCCGTTGAACACCGCTTTTTTGTTTTGTTTCTTCAGCAAGGCCTGAACTCCTCCATGTGTACCTGACATCGTTATAGCGTTGTCATAACTTTGTGAACGACACTTCATAAAGTCCAATCCATTACCTTCAAGTTGATGAAGGATATCGTTGCTCAAATCAACGGCTTTTTTCCCTTTCAGAATAAAAAAACCGAGAAATGATTCTTTTACTTCGACTTTCCCATCTTCAATCTTGACATATCTGATAATTTCAGACATTTGGTCATCGTGCGATGCATCTGGGGTGCTATCGAACATAATCCCATAATATTTCGATGATCTTATATCTGAGAGAATTCTCCCTTTAACATGACCTGCCAACATCTCGATGAACTCGTTTTGTGTTTGCGGCGAGAGATAAGAAACATTGGGCTGGACTTGCAAATCGACACAATGCTTCAACCGCAACAAATGCTCCTTCAGAACCGGGTCATATCTAGAAATCAGTTCTACTAGCTCTAGAAAATTTCCCCTATTTGAGGAAAGCTCATCTTCCCTGTGGCCCCGAAAAGCAATGTTTTGCTTAGCCAGGAACAAAGTAATGTCAAGTAAGCGATGTAGCACATCATACCATTTTTTAGATTCCTTCTCTCTCTGATCGATAAGATGTTGATCGATATTTGAACCAGACTTGAGATTTGTAGCCATCGTTTTCCAGACTCCAAAAGGAGTCTGGCCTTCCATCGACTATGGTACTGATCAGCGAAAAAGCTTCATTCCCTCAGGACGTTTGCCGTCTGTTCTCAACCAGTGGCGTCGCCTTAATCTCAATCTACCTGTGCACCAACTCTCAAAACATAAACAATTATCAAAATATTGCTTGCAATGGACAGATATTGAGCTTACTAGAAGATTAAGTGTGTTTTTCAACCGATTCGAGTATGAGGCATTAAATCTGGGTTTGAAAGTTGGTGCACAGGTAAAAAGTAAGGTTACGCAACGCCACTGACCCTATCTATCGACCCATCAACTCATGAACCGGGGATCAACGGCTTTACTTCCCTTCAGCTGCAGGTGGGCGCTTTCTGTTGGTTTTCAGCTCTCCGCACCAAAGAGTGTACGGTGCCATATCTGCCACTCGGGTCATCTGATTCGGGGACCACCGATCACCATCCAGGACCATCCAATTCCGCTTAAGAAAACAGTCCGCGTTCTGGGGGTAGTTCTGGATCGGACTCTAAGTTTCGACCAACACTTCAGAACGGTGAAAGAAAACTGCCGTAGCCGCATCAACATCGTCAGGACAATCTCCCGTCCGCACCGCTCCAGTAACCGCGAGATCCGCCTTCGTGTCGCCCGGGCTGTTATCGACAGTCGACTTTTCTACGGCCTCGAAATTACCTGCTTAGCCACCGAGAAGCTGAACCGCATCCTCGCTCCGGTATACAATACCTACGTACGCATCGTATCTGGCCTCCTACCTTCCACGCCCGCAGACGCCGCTTGTGCAGAAACCGGAATCCTCCCTTTCCGCTATCGATCTGCTGCAGCCTCTGCCACCAAAGCCGCTGCCCTCGCTGCTAAGACATCCGGGAACGATAGGGTCTTTCTCCTCAACGAGGGGAACAGAGCCCTCCGCACTGCAGCCAACGTAGACCTCCCCCCGGTGGCCAGGGTCCACTGGCATGGAGAGAAAAGTTGGCGATCAAACGTTATAAAAATAGATAAGCGGATTAAGAGAGGATTCCAAGCCGGAGATAACTCTGTAGCGTTGAGGCGCTCCGTTGCAGAACTTCTTAGGTCGGTTTATCCGGGGCACGTTCATCGCTTTACGGACGGATCGCGATCACGGGCCGGAGTGGGACTCGGAGTGGCAGGACCAAACACCGCAACAAGTCAAAGTCTTCCGGAGGAGTGTTCCGTTTTTTCCGCAGAAGCCGCTGCTGTTCTTGACGCAGCCATCACTCCTGCAGATCAACCGATCCTTGTGCTAACGGACTCACACAGCGTCATCCAGGCGCTGGAAGCCGAAGCCCCGAGCCACCCCTGGATACAAGCCATTACACGTTTTGCCCCACCCTCAACCGTTTTTACGTGGATTCCCGGGCACTGCGGTGTTCCTGGAAACGAGGCAGCGGACAGGCTGGCGGGATCTGGTCCATCCGGACCCCGCTTCACCAGGAACGTACCACTCCTAGACGTCAGGCGTTGGATTGCGATTATCATCATGGAAGCCTGGCAGGAGGAATGGTTTCAGTCACGCACCACCCTCCTGAGAAAAATCAAAGAAACCGTACGACCTTGGCAAGACAGCCACAAGTACAAAGACCAGCGGATTATCTCAAGACTCCGGACCGGCCATGCGAGGATTTCCCACAATTTTGGTGGGACACCCTTCCACAAGGTTTGTCCAATCTGCAGCATCCCTGCCTCGGTGGAACACGTGCTGTGTGTCTGCCCAGAGTTTCAGAGGCTACGCGAACAACACCGACTCCCAGAGAGCATCAGGGAGCTACTTGGCAACGACCCCTCGACGTTGACTGCGCTGATTGCATTCTTGAAGGACGCTCACCTATACAACCAAATCTAGCCCTCTCGTCGTGGGCTGCGCTGTCCGTGTTCTTTCACCTTCCTATTTTCCTGCCGTCGGGGTATCTCTGCCGGACTGGGGCACTGTCTCTTACGGTGGAGCTCTACCTTGTTCGCGCATCCATTCCTCACCACAGTCCCGTTGTAACTCCCACTTTACATTAAGTTTTTTTAAATGTTGTCTGTCCCTTTTGGTGGGTAATCAGAGCCAGTTGTACGTTATGTAATGATAGACTGAAACGCTTTCTTTCGAGGCAGGCCCTAAGCCTGACCCTCGATTATCAAATGTGATGAACTAGCCTACGGCTAAAAATCACAAAAATAAAAAAAAAAAAAAAAAAAAAAAAAAAAACTTCCCTTCAGCTTTTATTTAATTACTTTTCATTTGATATTTTGGTCTTTAAAAAAATCGATTTTTTGACCACCCTAATATGGAAATGGTCACTCTAATGACAAAGTAAACATAAAACACGGGTCTAATACTTTACACGGAAAAAAGTTTTCATGTAGTTTCCATTGGGAATGCACATAACATTTTTCCATTAACAAAACCAATGATATTTATCTGAATTCCACATAACATTCATGTGATCACATGAGTTCTATATGATAAATCACTTAAATTTCATTTGACACATAAGCATCATTTGATTTTGTGGTGCAATTCCCAATTATGATATCACATGAAAGTTATGTGAAATTCTAATGAATATTTTCCATTGGATATGTGATTTATTCTTTGAGTGTACGATAAGGAACAAAACTACAGATTTATACGGAATTCTGAGAACGACTATATCGTTTTGCTATGGAATTGCTGTATATTTTTCCCAAACTACATAACGTGATGTAACTTGACAAACTTCACAAATTCCCGTTGACGCACTGTTCCTGCTGTCTCAGTGTTGATTACTTTCCGTACACTGCAGAACTTGAACAGCGGATTGACCTGCTGTTTGGAAAGCTCATCTCTGACCAAGTCGATTTCCTTCGACATGCTGATTCTTTTGATTTTTCTCAACCAAAAAAGTTGAAACACGCGCGAACACTATCGTGCCTAAAACAAGAGAACGAACGAATGCGTCTTTATACAGCTGGCAGTTGAACGATAACTGATTTGATTAATCGTGTGATATCAGTAACTTCGTTTTGTATACACCAACCGCTAAACTATAAGCTATAACTATAAAAAAATACCATTCTCTAAAGCATTATCTCCATTGCTCATCCCCGTAGGCCGCTACAGCGGAAATCGCTCAGCTAAAGGACGAAATCGACATCCTCAAGGAAGCGAACGACAAATTGAAAATATGCGAAACACAGCTGCAAACCTACAAGAAAAAGCTCGAAGATTACAACGATTTGAAGAAGCAGATCAAAATGCTGGAAGAACGGAGCGCTGAGTATATGAAGCAAAATTCCCAATACGAAGAGGAAGCGAAAAAGTACGCCGGAATGAAGGGCCAAGTAGAACTGTACAAGAAGGAAATCCAAGATCTGCATGCAAAGCTCGACTCGGAAATGAGCAAAAACATCAAGACGGAGTTCGAGTTCAATCAACTGCAGGCCAAACTTTCGGCCATTCAGAGAGAGAAAGAGAACCTGCTGAGCGAACGGGATGTGCTGCGGGAGACCTGTGATGAGCTAAAGTGTGGCCAGGCAGCGGAGGACTCCGAGACTGGCAATACGATGTCCAAGGAGCTACATTCGAACGATGTTCGCGAAAGGATCGAACGGTTGGAGAAGGAAAATAAGGCACTCCGAGAAGGCCAAGGTGGACAGACGGCGCTTTCGGTGAGTTACTATATTTGTTGGATGTTTTCGAAGAATGTAGTGAACCGAATATGTTTGACTTCCATTGCAGCAACTGCTGGATGATGCCAATCAACGCAACGAAAAGTTACGAGATCAGCTGAAGGCAGCAAATCAGCGAGTGTTGCTCTTGAGCCAGCATCACAACGAAGAAATCAGCACTAAAAGTGATATGGATATCCAGCTCAAACAAGCCCTCGAGCTAAACGAGCAACGTTCGTCGCAGATTGATGAAGCACAATCGCAGATGACCCAGTTGCACACGAAAATTGCCAACTTAGAAGCGGCACTGTCGGCCAAGGACCAGGAACTACTTGCCGCCGATTCACGTTACAAAAAGTGCGTTGAGAAGGCCAAGGAGGTGATCAAAACGCTCGATCCGCGTGCTGTCAATGGTAAGATCCTTTAGGTTTGTATATTTTCCTACACCTCTAACATGTTTCTCGTAGCATATCATAATGGAACAGCTAACAGCAACCATTCGAATAATCTGCTGTAATATTTCAGAAGCACTTCTCTTGGAGAAGCCTCCACAGGATGGGGAAGCTTCGTCATCTTCGGCCACTGGAAGCGGAGGCGATGCATCCACCCTTACTTCCACCTCGGCCCGCATTCCAATGGGTGTTCAGGAAGAACAGCTGATAGCAACAGCTTTCTACCGTTTGGGGATGACCTGCCAACGTGAAGCTGTCGATTCGAGACTTGCGCTGCTCAGCGGACCTGGTCAGAGTTTTCTCTCCCGTCAACGTCAGCCAGCCCCTCGTAAGCCTCTGAATATGCAATTCACCAAAAAATAGAAAACGCGCTACAGCGACCCCGGCAAATGCAGGTCATGATAGTGGGCTTAGGCGAAAGGCATTCACGGGTGGTGCCTTGCAAATCATGCAGTAATAGATTTTTTACCACAAAACCTAGGAATAGCTTCTAACTTCCAACGTACTGTTTAGGATAATAATTTCTACTAATTATGCAAGACCACATTTTATTTATTATTTATACACGCTGTCTAATTACTTTAACAAAATTGTGACTCGTTTCAATAAAGTATCTACATACATTTTGAAGAAAGTGCGTTCTTTTGCTCTATTGTCATAAAGAAAAATCTTATGCTTGTCAAGCTTTGAACCTTATTTTCAAAACCAAAACCATAGAACACTTACAGCTCCATCGCCTCTCCGCCAACGCCTGTAATCGATAACAAATCCGCTCGCTTCGTCCCCGAAGATTCGACCAAGTTTTTCGCCCACTTGAGATTGTTACTCACTTCCTGCAG